GGCTTTTTAAGGTGTCCTCATTTAAGCCCTCCTGGGCAGAGCCACAGTGTGACTAACATCACAGTGATGGTAGAAGAATCAGCTGGTTTATTTGACCAGCATCTCGTGCTGGGCACAAATCGATATGGAAGACAAAGGGCTGGAGCCCACCCAGGCTAAAAGGAGAGACAAACAACAAAACACCCATGGAAATTTCATGTTGCTGCTGAGAAGTGCCACAGCGGAGGGGGGAGGGGTACAGAGGCCACCCAAATGGCTTTAGGACACTGCCTTGCTGAAGGGATATACGAACTGGGCTCTGAAGCATCTGTAGGAATTAGCCAGAGAAAGGAGTCTGTGGTGGGAATGAAAAGAGAGGTCCCTTGCAAAGGACTGGCTGTCAGTTTCAGTAACTGGGGAGCCCCCGGGTGTTCTTAATGATAAGCGGATGTGAGCAGATCTGAAGCTCCAAAGCTGCTTCTGGCTTCCCAGCCAGGACTAACACCATCCAGGGAGCCGTTCTGCCTCCAGCTCCTCCTCGCCCTGACTCATCCCCAAAGTGACAGACTCTTCCAAGCAACAAGTTGGTCAGGAAGCCAGGCCACAGTCATGGTTTTGAAAACCGCCCTTGGAAGCAGAGGTGGCGATCCCCTGAATTAGCATGACCCTGACTGGCCTCAGCTTCAAGCGCCCAGAAAAGGCGAGTGTGGGTTTGATCGGAGGCACCGAGGGGGTGAATCTCAAAAGCAGGAGCCCAGTCTGAACGCCGATCAAGACTGCAAGTTGCTCCAAGAAAAACACGCTGTGGTGAAGGACCTAAGGCATGGGATCTACCAGGCTGCGCATCCGCAAGCAGTTGCATGGGGCTCCTGAGACAGGGAACCGTCAAGGTCAAAAGCACCATACCGGATGTCTCAGCTGACTAACTCTTCCAATACATTGACCATCAGTTGTTGCTTTCTTTTGAAGATATTTTTTATTTATTGGAAAAACACTTTTACAGAGAGAAGGAGAAACAGAAAAATCATTCATCCACTGGTTCACTACCCAAATGGCTGCAACAGGCTGCAACAGTCAGAGCTGAGCCTGCTGACCTGAAGCCAGGAGCCAGAAGCTTCTTCTGGGTTTCCCCAATGGGTGTAGGGTCCCAAGGCTTGGGTCATCCTCCACTGCTTTCCCGGGCCACAGGCAGGGAGCTGGATGGGAAGTGAAGCAAGCAGCACTCTCAGTAGCATCCATATGGGATAACAGTACTTGCAGGCGAAAGATCAGCCTGTTGAGCCCTGTGTCACCCTCATTGTAAAAAGAAAAAGAAAGGGAGAGAGAGAGAAAAAGGAAGGAAGGAAGGAAGGAGGGAAGGAAGGAAGGAAGGAAGGAAGGAAGGAAGGAAGGAAGGAAGGAAGGAAGGAAGGAGAAAACTGGATGCAGAGCAGGTGTGACTATGGACTTACAAGGATGATGGGACAGAAACCAGGGAAGAGCGACCACATCTGTAACCATGGAGACAGAGAACCATGTCTAAGGGCAGGAAAATGAAATTCATGGGACACTGACATGTGGCCCAGGGCAGCCTGGAGGAGGAAGAGGAGGGAGGGGGAGAGGGGGGATGGCTCCAGAGGTAGACAGAACTGGCTCGTGCAAGTCCACAGGCTCTGCCTTCAACATGGGAGACACGAGCAGAGAGCCATACTGTGGGCAGCTAGAAATGGGGCTGCAGCTAGACATGTCATCCAGGCGTGGGTGCTGGCAGAGACCCCGGTACTGGGTCAGGCCACTACGTCAAGACTGTGGAACTAGCAGAGAAGAGGCCTGGGGGCTTGGAGTGGAGGCAATCCGACAGTCTAGGAGAGGAAGCTAGCAGCCAACATGCAGGAAGACACAGCACAACAGATGGGTCCTCTCAAGGAGACACTGGGCACCAGCCTTGATCACAGCCTAGATGTCAAGGCAGATTGGAACACGAAACACCCTTAGGCAATCCTTCCAAATCGAGGGTCAAGAGGACACAGGAGGTAGGGAGCCATGAGTAACATAAAGCTGCTTTTCACGGCCAGAGACATTGAACGGTGTTTATCATGCAGTGTTGGGAAGCATCTTCCACGCATGCGTGAAACCAGGTCCCTACCCCTTATTAAGGCCACACTCCCTGCTGGTGAGCACTCCCTTTTTGGCCTGAAGAGGGTTCTGGGAGACAGGCAGATCGGCTGCCTTGCAACCACTCTTTCCACATTGGCTTTGGGAAACTCACCCCTAATGCAACATCAGTGAGCTCCTGGGGCTACCAGGGAGGACAGAGCACAAACCAGAGAGAAGAGCCCCCCAAAACATGCATGAAGCCATTGCCTCCAGGTCACTCCACCCCTGAGTCTCCCTCCACATGCGACGCGGTCCTCAGGCTCCTGTGCAAGCTGTTCAGCTACAGGCGGCAGGTACCCTGGGTTCCCTGCTGGGTGGTAAGGACAAGAAACTCTGAATGTTTTCCATGACCTAGGCCCTTTATACTCAAGGCCAAGGGTCTTATTTCTTTTAAATATATATATTCCTTTTTATTGGAAAGGCATATTTAGGTAGATCTTTCATCTACTGGATCACTCTCCAAATGGCTACAATGGCCAGAGCTGAGCCACTGTGAAGCCAGGAGCTCCTTTTTCTTTTTTAACATTTATTTTATTCGTTTTGATGGAAAGTCAGATATACAGAGAGGATGCAACAGCCGGTGCTGTGCCAATCCAAAGCCAGGAACCCGGAGCCTCCTGCAGGCCTCTCACACAGGTGCAGGGTCCCAAGGCTCTGGGCCGTCCTTGACTGCTTCCCCAGGCCACAAGCAGGAAGCTGGATGGAAAATGGGGTTGCCGGGATTAGAACCAGCACTCATATGGGATCCCAGTACATGCAATGAGAGGAATTAAGCTGCTAGACTACTGCACTGGACACGAAGCCAGGAGTTTCTTTCAGGTCTCCCATGTGGGTGTAGGGACCATCCTCCATCTCCCTTGGCAGGCCATAAGCAGAGAGCATTTGGGACTCCAACCAGTGCCCATAAAGGATGCTGGTACTACAGGTGGAGTATTGAACTGCTATGCCACCATGCTGGGCTCTCTCTCTCTCCCTGCCCCACCTACCTTTTGCACAAAACTGTCTTAATCGTGTTCCATCTCCCAGAAGAAAGAAAACCAAGATCAGGAAGAACTCGACATAGAACATGGCTGCAAGCAGTCCCTGAGCTTCTGCGATCATGCGAAGGAGGGGAAACCACCACCACCGCTTCCTGAAGCATATGGACTAGCACGCACGCGCTGTGGCAGTTCCACCTCACGCCATAGAAAAGACAAGCTCAGCCTGCTGCAGGGACCAGGAGGAGGCCCAACTGAACCAGCCCAGGGAGTCGGGGACGGGCCCTCGCCGTATGGCTAACGACGCAAAGCACCTCGGGAGGACTCTCTGAAGAAATACGCTCCCCAAATTTGAGTTACTATGATTATTAATATTATTAATAAACTGCCTTGGACTAGATTAATATCCAGGCGCCACAAGCCAGGAGGTCTTCCGAAAGCCCCACTGGTGTGCAGGGAACATTTGCATGGTGGATGTGTTTTAATGAGTTTCCACTTCTTGCCCAGCACTCCCAGCATCCTCCGGGGAAGCTTTTTGGTTCTTTTAGCTGTCAAAACAGAGGCTCAAGCTTCCTGCCAGGCGGCTGCGGAACACGGCACCACCGTGTGCTGAGTGGACTTGAGTTTGACCATTCCGGCTCTCTTTCTTGCAAAGCCTCAGTTAGTGATCCTGTGTAGGAGAAGGCCTGTGGCCATCTTTTACCAGCATAACTGGACAGATTCTTTTCAAAATCCCAAAGATTCCTGAAGATTCCATGGGCCACAGACTAGTGAATGACTATCAGAGGGAAGAAAAATAGCCTTTAGGTTGATTTTTCTTTTTTTTTTTTTTTTTTTTATGGAAAAGCAGATTTACACAGAGAAGGGAAAACAGAGAGGAAGATCTTTTGACTGCCAGCTCACTCCCCCAAATGACCACAACAGCTAGAACTAAGCCGATCTGAGGCCAGGAGCCTTGGGCCATGCTCTGTTGCTTTCCCAGGCCACAAGCAGGCAGCCAGATTGGAAGTGGAGCAGTCAGGATACAAACTTGTGCCCATATGGGATCCCAGCATTTGCAGAGGGGAGAATTAGCCAATTGAATCATCATGCCAGGCGCTTGATTGATTTTTTTCACCCAAACACCCAAATTTCTGTGTGTTTAGACTTTCATTTAGTTCAAGTTCAAATTTTCAAAGAAAAACAAACTGAAAGGTAGCTGTGTCATGGTTTCCCCGGCATGTAGTTATTTGGTCTGACGCACATCCCCAGGCCATCAGGGTCCACTGACGTTCTTTGTCCTCTCATCTCCAGATGAGCAGTGATGCAACCCAACACAAGCATGCAAAGAAGTTTGAAAACTGCAAATCTTAAAGCCCAGCCAGGCGGGGACCTGCAGCCCCTGCTTCTCTAACAGGTATGTATCATGCCAATATTCCTTTCCACTCCATTTCCCGTTCTCCTTTGCCATAGAAACCATTTCAAGATGCTCTAGGCACACTCATCCATGTTGCTTTTGCTGCCTGCGATCTAGCTGTCTCCTGCCATGGCCTCCAGCTGATGAGACGAGGGACAGGGAGCAAGCTGATGGATTTAAAGTCTACTGATGTCAATGTGAAACACACCTGGAAAAGCAATGTCTAGGGCTTGATCAAAACTGGGTACCACTGGCCAATCCAGCAGACACGTTCTATTCCCCATCATAGGCCCACGACCCACCCTGACAGGCCCCCAGGCAGAGCTGTCCCATTCACATTCTGTACTTCTTTCTCTCGCAGAGAAAAACACACCCTCCTACCACCACCTGGTACCTGCACAGGGAGGCGCTCTGAATCTGCAGGCTGAGGACTGTACCTGACCCCTGCCAGAAGCACTGCCCACACAGGAGCCCAACGGTGGATGGAAAAACGATCTCCCCAGGGCTGACAGATGATGCAGGGAAACAAGAAGTGCACCGATGGGTTCAGCGACTCTTCTAGCATCGGCAGCGTGCTGGACGATGCCGACAGGGAGGTGAGCAGCCTCACAGACCGGGCTTTCCGGAGCCTGTGCCTCTCGGAGGGCGCACCCTTCCAGGATTCCGAGCTCGGCCTATCCCCAGATTCCACCTGCCAGGTGCTGGGCACAGTGAGCCACACCCATCGCAAAAGTGGTCTCTGGAGCCAGCTGCCGGCACAAGGCACAGAGCATGCAGGCTGGGCAGCCACCTTCCAACAGCTACCCAAGTACGTTCAGGGTGAGGAAAGATACCATAAAAGCAGCCCCCCACTCACCCCGGCCCAGAGAAGACTAGAGGTGCCAGTTGCAGGCCTAAGGAACAGCGCCAAGCCCGGCTCCAAGGTCTCGACTCTCATCAAATCCTTCGACAGGCCTGAGAGCCAGCGTGGCGACAGCCGGCCTCCTCCCAGCAAGCCCCCTGTTCTAAAAACCACCCCCAAATTCGCCCCTCTCCCAGACAGCGGTGTCAACTTCTGCTTCGATTCTGCCTTCCTGACTGTCAGAAGGGTGCCCGCCGAGGCATCCAGCACCCATCCGAGCAGCCACCAACCCAGCAGGCAGCTCGGAGACGGGGAGACCCCAGAAAACACTGACGTGGCCTGTCCTGGCTCCAGCAGCTTCCTCCCTAGCCCAGACACTGCAGCCGCCTCATCGCGGTTCCCCTCCCCACCCCACAAGCCAGTCAAGGGGGAGCCTGGAAGGGCTCCAGAGTGGGCACCTAAAGGGACCTTCCTGCACAGCGAAAACAGTGCCTTTGAGTCGTGGAACGCTCACCAACCCAGGCTGCTGGAGAGAAAGGAAGCCACTGAGCCCACCCCTGAAATCAGAGCCCCCGCGTGCCACCAGGACACCCCCGTTCTGCTCAGGGAGCCCCAGCCCCCAGAGCACCAAGTGTCCCCCTGCCCAGTCCGAGTCAGCAGCAGTCAGGAAGACAGCAGACTAGCCACGGGAGCTCTGCCAGCCTCAGGACCCTGGGGGCTCCGGACTCCAGGATCACAGGTGTTCCCGATGGAGGGAGAAACTTTGGGCTCGCAGCCCGACCCCCAGGTGAAATCTACCCAGCCTCCATGGAGAAAGCCAAAGGCGGGCAAGGGAGGCAAGGCAGGTCTGCAGGAGGGGCCGGAAAGAAAGCAGCAGAGCATCAGGAGTGGGGGGCTGCCCCTGTACCCCAAGCACAGCCCCCAAGGGCAGTTTCCTGAACCTGAGGCTGCCGACACCTCCGGAGACCCCAATCAGCACTGTGACCCTCCATTCAACATCAGTAAGCTCCTGACCCCCATTATCCCCACCAAACATGTCCTGGACTCCTCGGCCAGCCAGCCACCAGACACGAGCCCCTCCCCGCCAGGCCAGCTCAATGGCTACCAAGAGAAGGAGCCAGATGAGCAGCCAGCACGGGACAGCTACAAGTCCAAGGCACCCAGCCTGCTGTTCAACCTCAAAGACATGCGGAAACGTGTCAAGAGCACCTACAGCCCCTCGCCCCTCCTGAAAGGGCTGGATGAGCAGAGCAGGAGCAAAGCTGACGACGGCCAGGGTGAAGCCCTGAGCAATGGGCTGCTCATCCCTAACGGCTTGGAGGAGGGCCTGGCCGATGCTCCCTCTGCAGCGCCCCCCGGCGCCCAGAAAGATTCCCCAGTCCAGCCCGGTGAGGCCTCCTCCACAGGCAGCTATGCAACCTTGGGCTTGCCTCTTGCTCCTGCCAAAGCTCCATTCTGTGCCAACAGGGAGAGGAGCAGCGATGACAAGTCAGAGACGGGTCCCACCAGCTCCAGCTTCCATCCAGACGCTAGGGAACGCCACCCCAGGAAACACCTATCCCTGAAGCTCTGTGACACACAGGTTGAAGCTGCCATGGCAGAGCGAAAGGAGCCGCAGCAGCAGCAGCTGGAGAACGGGCTCCCAAGATCCATCTCCCAGGACACAGAGTCCGAGAGAGAGCTGGGGCTTCCCAATACCCCGTTGACGCCAAAATTCTCCCCGGGGCCCCTGTCACCTGAGGAAGAGGATGTGTTCTATAGTGACAGCCAGTCTGATTTTGTGCCAGGCCTCAAAGGCAAGGCCAAATTGAGCACCAGCTCTTCAGAGCAATCCTTTGCTTCTTTTGACGACCAGCAGAAAACATGGTTTGTCGCTGAGAGCCAGCGGGATGATAGAATGGATAATGATGCTGAAGGCAGGAGAGGAGGTGATGGTGAGGAAGAGAAGCGGAATGCGGAAGGCAGCAGGGATGGGAAGGAATGCAGGGAAGAAGGCCGCCAGGAGGAAGTGACCTGGAGAGGAGACAAGAGCAGCAAGGCATCCATGGGGGAAGAGAATTTCAGGGGCTCTGGCACGGAGGTAGTTAGGGACACAGGCCTGGCACACGCCAAAGGCCCCGCCCCTTCGCCACTGTCTGCAGCCAACAGGCACGTCCTGTTTGCCATCAAGGACAACACGCTCAGGGCCACCCCGGTCATCAGGCCAGTAATGCTGCCTCTTTTGAGGACTATGTCCTCTGAGGACTCCCCGAGCAGCAACCACAAAGGGGAAGACTCACCCCGGCCAGGACGGGCTGGGGATGCTGGACTCCGGACCCCTGAAGGCCAAGAAGGGATCGGCAACTGCTGCACCCCCACTGCCTCCCAGGATCTGGGGGACGTGAGCCAGATGCCCAGGGTGACCAGGAGAGAGCCCTCCCAGAGGGAACCACCAGAAGATCTGCCGGCTCTATCATTGGTGGGAGAGCGGGATGGGAAGAAGCCAGCCCCAGATGCCACCCACAGGGCCCCCAGGAGCCAGAGCAGTTCCACAGAGGCACAAAGGGCAGCCAGGTCATGGGACATTCCCACCATCACCCTACCAGAGGGTGACCTGGGAGATCAGCTGCCACCCCCACCACCCCCTCTGCCACCGGACACCTGCTGGGAGGAGCAGATACAAAGTTTCCAGAATCGCTTTTTGGCCACACCCAGAGGTGGGAGAAGACAGATTCCTGGGGAGGCAACCGTGGGGGTGATCTCCCCCAACCCCAGCTCCTTGGGGGATAGCAGTGCATACTCCCCCGCTGCCAGTAGCATTTGGGACGATGCTTCCCAAGCTCCCAGCGAGCTGGGGCTGCTGTTTCAGGAACCCTCGGGAGCCAGTCCCTGGGCCAGCCCCGGCCCTGCCAGGGTCACCCGGCGCGAGGACCTGACGCACGCCCTGGCATGGGAAGCGACAGGATCCGATCCACAATTCGAGGCACCCTCCGAAGACCTGCGGACTCTGTCACCTCCTCCAAGAGGCGAGTGGCTGGACACGGCGACCCGCAGCGCCTCGGGCGCACCTGAGAGACCTGAGCCGCCTGCACAGTCCCTGCTGCCACCACCACCGCCGCCAGAGAGGGCGACCGGTAGGCCCCCGGCAGTCCCACCCAAGACCGAGAAGGCCCTGCGGCGCGCCAAGAAGCTGGCCAGCAAGCGGCGGAAGGCCGACCTGGCACAGGAGAAACCGGTAGAACGAGGGGATGCGGAGGACTGGGCACGCACCGAGCCAAGACCGCCTTCCCCTGGAGACAGGCCCCGACCCCGGTTCCCAGCGCTGCGCTCCCTACCGCCCCCCGCGCACCGCCACTCCGTGTCCGGCTTCCCGGAACCCGTGGGGAAATGGCGTGGGGGTAACCAGGTCCCCACGCCCTTGCCCCCGTTCTCCGCCACCCAGAAGGTCCTGCAGGACCCCCAGTCAGGAGAGTACTTCGTCTTCGACCTGCCGCTGCAGATGAAGATCAAGACTTTCTATGACCCTGAGACGGGCAAGTACGTCAAGGTCTCCATCCCGACCTCCGACGGGGGCTCTCCTGAGCCGCCGCCCGCAGACGCCAGGGCGGCCCCCTACATCTTGTACCCGGGCTGCCGGCCCGTGCCCGTGACCGCCCTGATGCCACTGCGCTGCTCCTCCCAGCTGGCAGCTCCCACCTTCCTCCGCCAGGGCCCACGCGCCCGACCCCAGAGCACGGACAAAGACGAGGAGCGCGCTGGGTTGCAGCCTAGCGCTGGGTCCCAGGAGGAGTCCGCTCTGCGTGCGCCACCCGCGCAGGGCTTCCAGGGGCTGCCCAGGAACCCAGAAGGGGCAGGCGCGGAAGCTCCAGACCTGGGCATCATCTCCACCGACGATCTAGAGGACTTCGCCACCGAAGGCGTTTCTTGAGGGTCATGGCCCACCCCCCAGGCCCCGCCCCACTCCCCACCAGAGCTTAAGCCCCACTCCCCCAGAGCAGTGTATGAGGCGTGCACACACGCACATCCGCAGAACACCCAGACAGCCGCACACACTCAACCATTTCGTGCTTCCCCCGGGCCCACCAGCAGGTGCTGGTCCTCTGAGGGAGGGGCCTGCTTACATAGTCTGCTCCTTCTATGCCCCCTCCTTTAGGCAGCCCTCTCACTGTCTCTTCCTCTGGCCCTGTCACCAGGGTGGGTGGGGCGCCTGGCAGCTGCCTTCCAAAGATGCTTGAGCTGCTACTACAGCCAAGCTGTCCCTGGTCAGGGTCAGGGAGGCGTGCTGGGTGAAACCCTGAGAAATGCTGAACCTTGCTGTGGGCCGGAAAAACACCCCTCACCAAGCAGACCCCCTGCCTGGGCTGCACACCCTCCGCCCACCACCCACTCTCCACCCCAAGGGTCAGCACAGCCCAGGAGTTCTGGGCTCCGGGGCCCAGCTGGCTTAAGGATCTGGCCCAAGGCATGTCCCAGACATGAAGCACACACGATGGGTTTTCTTTGCTGGGAGCCCAACTCTCACAAAATGAAACAAGGTTGCAGGTGCGGTTCTGGCCCTGGCCTCCTGTCATTCTTCTGGGAGCACAGGGGGTGGCATTGGGGGCTGGATCTCTGCCCTCCAGGCCTCACCCAGAAGCCATGGCTCTCTGACTGTTCCTTGCCTCCAGCACCCAGGGTAACCCGTGGAGCCCTGCTGAGCCCCTCTACACCTGTCCCCACCCGCTAGAGCCAGGCCCGCTATGGTTATTACCAGGCAAACAGAGATGGAGGAAGACCCTCAAGAATGGCCCAGGGAAACTGAGGCCGCCACCCTGCCCCCCCTACCTGGCTCCTCCAGTGGAGTCACAGGTCCCTGCTCCCTGCCTGCCAGGTAGAGAAAGAATCTGAACAAGTAGAAAGAGCAGAGCATGGCAGCACCCTTGAGAGCAGGTGCCCAGAGCAGCCAGCTGTGCTGGGCAGAGTCGGGCTGGCCCCTAGGGGTTCCCTATTCCCTCCCCCACCCCACCCAACCCTAACACACACTAATTTCTGCTAGAGTCTCTTAGTTTTTTGCCCTGAGAAAGATGATGGGGAAAAAAAAAAAAACACCTAGCCCCTCATTTAGAAACAGCAGCTGCTGGGAGTGTTGTTGCCAGAGTGAGAGGGGAGCACGCAAAGTGTCTCTCACCTGTTATGTTGGCTAGTTCAGCCCACGTCCAGTGTCACCAAGTCACACAATCACACACATTCATGGACTTTGGGCATATTCCAGATTGCAGCTCGGAGTCAGGGAGGCTCACGGCAAACACAGCTACACTTAAACTTCATTATGAAAATGCTCCACAAACCCCCCCTCCCAACAGCAGCCCCATCCCAATAGTCTAGATTGAGAAGCCTTGCTGGGTCAGCCACTTGACCAACCAGGAGAGCAGGTAGGCCACTGTTCTGGACAGTTGCTGGTGGTGAGTATCACCAGGGAGGCAGATGATGACAAGAGAGACATATCCTGAGGCACCACCCCCAAATCAAGGTGCTCCCCACTATTTTCCTCTGCCTGGAGTATGAAAAAGGATGTTAGAGAACATTGCCTGGCAAACCAAGAGTCCTCTCAAGTCAGTAATAACCATGGCTGCAGCCACCCTGTCCCCAAAGGAACACTCTTCCTCCGGAGTTGTGTTCAGGCGAGGGAGTCGGTGTCTGTCCCAGACCCACAATTGATAGGGCTGCGGGTAGGACCAGAGCCCAAAGGATAAGCACTTGGCCAGCAGTCCTCATGACTGGGCTTGGACAGATGGCAACGTCCACCCTGGAAAGGGGAGGTGGGCGGAGGACTCCATCCCAGGAGTTCCAGCTCCCTGTGGGTCAGCCCGATGGAAGTGCTCGCTCACGGCCAAGTTGCCCTGGCTCCCAGGGGCAGAGGCCTTCCAGGGGACAGAATCGAAACTCACTAGAGACACTACAAGGGGAGAAGTGAGGACAACTTAGGGGACAGGAATGGCTCCTCTCTCATTCTGTCTGCCTTAAAAAAAAAAAAAAAAAGGCAGAATTACAGAGAAAGAGAAAAGAGGCAGGGAAGAGAGAGATTTTTTCCATCCCCTGGCTCAGTGCACGAATGACTACAGCAACTGAACCTGGGTGGGTTGAAGCCAGGCGCTTCTTCCAGGTCTCCCACGTGAGTGCAAGGACCCAGTTACTTGGGCCATCCTCGACTGCTTTCCCAAGCCACAAGCAGGGAGCTGGATGGGAAGCAGAGCAGCCAGGACATGAGCCAGAGCTCACATGGGACCTGGCACTACAGGTAACACCTTAATCTACTGTGCCACAGCACCGCCTCCCTGCCCGAAACTAGTCCGTACCTAGAAGAGGTCGTTTGCATTTCCTTCCTTCTTCCTTTTATTTTTTCCTCTCTTCCCTCTTTCCTCCTTCCCTTTCTTCCCTTCCCATTTCCCTTCCTTCTCTCCTCTCTTCCTTCTTTACATTTTTTTCCCCTCTTGCCTTACTTCCTCCAACTCTTGTTTTACAAGCACTTGCACCATACTGGGTACTTTGATAAGACCCAGTCTCAGCACCCCTGACATAAGACCTAGCAGAGGAGAGAACATTTCCTGGGTTGCTCTGAGCAGCAACCTTCCCCAGTAGGAAGGAAAGGGTGCCTCCTCTGAGGGAAGAGGCCTGACTTGACAGCAAGTGAAACATCCACTTAGGAGGCAACCAGGATCCTCCCAGCGCTCGGAGGCTTTGAGTACCGGGGACCTCAATCAGATGCTAACCGGTGCACGTTACCATATGAGAGTCCACTGACGGTCAATGGCTCCTTTACACGTCAAGGTAGAATGAAGCCAGGTGTAGCCGCCCTCCCAGGACAGACCCTTTGGTAATATGTCCTTCTCTCTGGACACCCCTGGACTGATACTTCTCTGAGTTGCTCAGAAAAGCCACCATGCCCACCATTGTGCTACAGGACATTTGGTGGGGATTGCAGATGTCTCCTGCAGTGTAAGGCACTGAGGGACGTGTGTGTGTGTGTTTAATGAATTAGGGCTCTCTCTCTCTCCATGTCTCCCCAGGAGGGGGCATAAATGGGGAGAATTAAGGGAACAAGCAAAGATCCTGGGGCTGTTAGGCCCAAACCTGACCCAGAGTCCCCCTTGTCCGTCCTGTGCTGAGCTGGGAGCCTGGATTCAATGCTCACAGCATACTTCCACAGGTAGCCCCACTGGCTTCAGCTTGCTGTGCCCCAAGGAAAGCCACTGGGATGGGATGTGACAGCCAGTGGTCACGTCTCCACTCAGCGCTGACCCATCTGGAACCTGCCGAGCTTCCTCTCCCAGTCCCTCTCCAGCTCCAGGTGGCCCCTCTCTAACTGTGGTCCACAGCCTGGCTGCCTCCTCCCTCATCAATGGGGAGTTGGCAAGAAGCCTCAATCTACATGGTCGCACTGTGCGCTCTTGGCCTCCGCTTACCTGGAGAGATTTGCAGTGGGCAGGAGGGCATCTTGGAGGGCTCCCCGGCTTCCCGGCTCCAGAGCACATTCCAGAGTGCTTCCCTGTCTGGGATGGGGGCAGAGAGGAGAGCAGAGCCACAGGAAGCGAGGTTTTACACAGCACAGCCGCTCGGGGAGTAGTGAGCTCCCCATGGGTGGAAGCATGAGCACTGATGGAGACGAGACACCCGAGACAGGAGTGGGTGTTACAAAAGATCAAGGTGCATCCTCGCAAAGAAACCTTGCAGGCGGCCCACAGTGCTCCCACGGACCCCTGGTAGGGATGGAAATCTAAATGGGGTACCCCATGGGAGACCCTTTATGTGTGAAAGAGGAACTGTGCAGCGAAGATAAAACTGTGAAATCAGACACATTGTCTGCGCTGGGCCTCCTGCATCATTCAGATAGAAAGGGTCGCGAGGTCAGAAGTCAGAGGTCATGCCTGGGATTGCACGGGGCGGGTGGTGGGGAAAAGGAAGAAAGGCCCTGATGACACAGCCTGTCCTGGGTCACTTTGCCTGGCCCGCTGCTTCTTGTTACCAAGTTTGGCTCGGGCAGGAGGGCACAGCCTGCAGTGCCACAGAAGGGAAGAGAAGAGAGGGGCTCCTAGGAGGCACCTGTGCATGAAGGAGCTAAGCTGGTCCACGCCCCAAGCAGGAAGGCTCGTGTGTGTGTGTGTGTGTGTGTGTGTGTGTGTGTGTGTGTGTGCGCGCGAGTAATTGGTGCTGCTATCACAGGATGCTCAAGCTGGGTACTTTACAAATTCAGGAAGCCCATCTGGTTCACACACCTGTCTGGGGGGCACTCCCGTCTGGGGGGCACTCCTGTCTGGGTCACAGGGTGGTAGAGAAGTAGAATGGAAGCTGATTGCATGGTGGGGCAGAGAGGGCAGGAGGGACCCCTGTGCCAAGCGAGCGAGCGAGCGATCCAGGAAGTGCTAGGCTGGCTCATGGGGACACACCCACTCCTGAAGGCAGGCCCCCTCCATGGAACCAGAGCCCCCAGGACCACTCACCTTTTCTGGGGCCTACCACCACCACCCCAGGAGCCGTGTGGCGACACTTCCACCCATGGGATGGCCCCATTGGTCATGGCGGGCACGGCGTTTCATTGCTAAGTATTTCCCCTCAACCTTGGCCACCCTGTTGTCATTTCTTCAGGTCCTCCCCCAGGCCCCAACCCCATCCTTCCCTCCTGGCCCTGCCCATGCAGTGACATGGCCAGCACCTGCCCTCCCAGATGCACTCCTTCATCTTCCTGCTGATTGGGAAGCCCAGGGGTAATGGCTCCTCCATTACCAACCCCTTTCACAACCCCAATGACCTGATGACTTTCTCTCTCTCTCTCTTTCTCTCTCTCTCTCTCACTTTTACCTGCACATTCCTCTTCACTAACCAGAGTGGAGGTGCCACCAAGCCCAGCCAGGAGGTCATGCAATGGTCAACTCTACCGACTCCTAACAAAGT